CTCAATTCTCAGGAAACTGGATTTCTTGGCACAATTTTCTTGCTGATCATTTTTCTGTAAACATCTGTGAACTAATGAGTTTAATTAGGGTTCTTCTGATGAGGCTTCTATTTTTAAAACAACAACAACAAAAACCTCCCAAATCCCCCAAAACAAAACAAAAACAAAAAACCCTTAATTAGGGTTCTTCTGATGAGGCTTCTATTTTTAAAACAACAACAACAACAAAAAACCTCCCAAATCCCCCAAAACAAAACAAAAACAAAAAACCCTCAAAAACAACAACAACAACAACAACAACAAAAACATGGATCAAAAAGTATTCTTTTGTGCTGAAGTCTTCAAAATTGTTTTCACAAAGTGGGTTTTTTTGGGTTAATTATGTGTGTGCACTATGCTATGAACTCTCAACATAAAGGGCCTACAGCTGGAGATGATTGTATGCAGAGAGAAGAGACATTACATTGATTGGTTAGCTGTTCCTGTCATTGTTTTTCACTGCTTTTTGATTTTTTTCTTTGAATTTTGCATCAAGTATTTGATTATCATAGTGAACACTGACCAGCTGGCCTGGTTTCAGGGAAAGAGATGAGGCATGTTTAAGTAAGATGGAAAGCACTGTCTATGGAAAGCACTCTTGGCGGGGGCATATGTGCAGCCTTGCCTCATGTGTGTTTGAGTAAGATACTGTCTGTGGGAAGCACTCCATAGAAGGGGCATATGTGCAGCCTTGCCTCATACTTGCAACTAAAGAGGACTGAGGCCAAAACCCAAGACTGAGGAACTGGAGGTAAGATGACTTGTTGTCTCAACAGATGCGATGGCATGGATTGGAGCATCATAAGCAGGGTGGCAAATGAGCTGAGAGAAGAAGGTGCTGGGGATCCACAGGAAGGGAATCTAGCCAGTTTTGTGGAAAATCAAGTTAAGTGTAAGTGGCATCTCCATCCATCCCAATGTAACAGCAGCAGGCTGGAGGGTAGGAGAGGCAATAATGAGCAGGATTCTGTGATGCAAGCTCTGAGTACCTGACTTTTTATTTGCATGTCTATAGGAAAAGATGGGGAGCAGTGATTAGGGACAGAGGATTACTTAAAAAGACAGTACAAGGAAATGTGTGACTCACAAACACTGGAGGAAAATCCTAAATTTTACTGCTAAATTTTAAAAAGGAGACAAAGCAGTTGTTTATTAAATGATGAAATGAAAAGATCAATCCAATGCAGTAATATCAATGATGGGAAAATAAAAATGCGTAACCTCAGGGGGAAAAACCCTCTATAGTATATTGAAATAAACTGTTGATGATAAAATTTTTTCTGAGACAATAAATTTTAATAAATAGGAAATATGTGGATATGGTTATCTTTATAGAATTTGGATTTTCTTGGTTTTAATGTTTTCAATGATGGATAAGTATCAGTATTTTTATAACAAGATTAACTTCAATTGGGCAAAACAAAAACAAAAACAAAAGCTTAAATAAAACAGAATGCAAAGGTGCCACACAAAGCAATCTCAGGAGTAATGTGAAACTGAGTGACAAAGAGGGCAATTTAAATTGATTAGAGACACTAACCATGTGTTAAACTTGCTTAAATGTGTGCATTTTTAGGAATGGAGGGCCTGCTCATTTCTAGTTGTGTTTTGTATAGTATTAACTTTTAAAAGGATGTATGAATAAGTGCGTTTATAAACCACATCCCTGAAGCTTAAATGTTTCTCAGGTGATTTTGACAGTGATGAGGTTGGTTTCAGTTTCTAGTTTCAAGATTTTGAGTCATCGAATACCTTTACTAGGAATTCCATGTGCCAAGTGAAGATAATGCTTGTGTTTATTTGGTGGTTTGTGTTTATAAGGAAGGAATAATACCAGGAACTTTCAGAAACCCTGAATAAAGGAAATGCTATGCAGATAGAAACCAAATAATCATAGTCAGGCGTTGAGCTACCGCTGAGCTTGCTGCTGGAAATAGCTTCTTCCTGGTGGGGACTGCTGTCACCCCTTCCTGTGCTCAACACTTACTCCTGCAGTACCTCTTCCTACCTTTAACTGCCTTAGTGTTTTCAAGGGGGGAATGACAAAATCATATTCATTTATTTTTTTGTATTCTCCCACAGGAAGCATTGTAAGTACCTGGCACTTAATGAGGGTTGAAATGAGCTAAATATGCTGTAAAATAATGATTGTGCCATGTCCAAAGGGATCAAAAGTCCATATATTTTATTGAAAGAGTGGGGAAGCTGTGCTGAGTCTCTGTTTTCTATTT